ACAAAGAAAATCTAAAGTTAAAGGAGCTACTTAAGAAATGTAGAAATCACATTCATGCCCCTCTACTAATAGGAATGCCTCGAAACCTCTTATTGAGTTTCACTGGCAATTAAGTGTTTGAACAAATAACAAGAGTTCCACAGCAGCTAATTTCCTAGGCCCCAATCAAAGGTAACGCCTAATTCATACACTTTATCTCTTTTTAAAAAGGTTTACTATGGCTTTCGAACTCAAGGAAGTAGAATTCTGAGAGGCTCCTCTCTCTGCCACTATCCCTGCTGGTATGCATAGATCCTCATGCCCAGCTCTCACATGTGTGGGCAGTGCCTCCCCATTCCCAGTCACAGAGGAGAGTGTACCAAGAGCAGCAGCAACAGGCTGGAAGCTGGAAGGGCTGGGGAGAAACTGGTAATGATTGCTAACGGGTATGAGATATCTTTGACAGGTTAAGTTTCTCTAAACGTGGTGATGGTTACACAACTATGAAGGAACTTAAACCTCACTGAAGTGTGTACTTTAAATGGGTCAATGGTATGGCATGTAAGTTACATCTCAGTAAAGTTATCCTGTGGCTTCCTAAACACTGAGGTGTTTGGCTAGACAAGCCTCCCAACCCCTGAGAATATTCCCTACACTCCTTCAGGAATCCAAGTATTACCCACAGCAGTTTGGATTTTCTTGGCTGGTATAAGATTCATTTTCCCCCTTGTGCTTTTTCATCTTTTTGAGACAGGGTCTCCCTGCAGCCCCAGCTGGCCTAGAAATTGCTGTGTAGACCAGTATGGCCTCCACCTCACAGAGGTCTGCCTGCCTCTGCCTCCTCAGTGCTGGGGTTAAATATATTTGCCACCATGCCCAGCCCCCTTGTGCTTTTTCAAAGGCTAAATAAAAACAGTCTTTCATAACATAATGGTGGAAGATAATAATTACAGCAATATCACTAACAACAATCAAGTTGTTCTGCTCAAGCTTGAAAACTAGTGTTTCTGACACAACACAAAGCATCATTCTCAGCCTGTGGACACAACTTGAAGTGGAATGGGCAACAGAAAGGGTTCATGTGGCCTCTATGCTACACGATTAAGGAGTCAAGCCTAGAAGTCTAGAAGAATTTTATGAAAGGTTGTGTGAAAATGGGAGCTTATTGGCCAAAGCTGTGGTGAACCTGGCAGACACTATCCTGAAGCCTACACACAGCTCTTGAAACAGATGGGCAATGTTCGGTGAGATCTGGTCCCTTCAAAGCTCTGCATGAACTTCAACACTCATGGTGGGTATCCACTCCCACCTCTCGCTTTAGATATTCTTTCAGCTTCTCGACCAGCTTGCATAAGAAATGGCGTGCTGGGGGCAGGAGAGATGGCTCAGTTAAGAGCACTGGCTGCTCTTGCAGAGGACTGGGTTCGATTTCCAGCACCCACATGGTATCTAACAACTGCCTCTAACTCTGGTTCCAGAGAGTCCGACGCCTTCTTCTGATTTCCGTGGGCATTGCATTACATGGGTGCACTTACATGCATGCAGGCAATACATTCGTACATATAAAATAAAAATAATTTTTTAAAAAAGGAAAAAAATGGTGTGTGCTATGCCAGAGTCCGTCTATATGGCCTGTATTCTGAGGTCTGATGCTCACCTCAGTTACATGTTTCTTCCTTTAAGTATCGTGTAGTCTGTGACAAACCTTTCCACACACATTGTTCTTCCAAATCTTCACCAGTCTCTGCCAGTGACTGCGGCCTATGCTCTGTAGAGCCAACAATGCAGACTCCCACTAGAAACAGAGAGCACTACCAGCACTGGCTCCCTTCTGCCAGCTCTCCTTGTTCAACTTCCAAAAGCTGACTCTCCTTCCATGTCTCTGTGTTTTCCTTCTTGATTTTCTTGAATCCCTGCATGAACCCCCAAATTTGAGTCTCTAAGGGAAGTTTCTGGCTATGCTGGATAACTTTGGTTGTCAACTTGACACACATGGATAAGGGAGCCTCAACTGGAGAACTGCCTCCATTGGACTGGCCTGTGGCTATATGTCTGTGAGGCATTTTCTTGATTATTGAGTGATGTGAGGGGACCCAGCCCACAGTAGGCAGTGCCACCCCTGGGCAGGTGATCCTGTATTGTATAAGAAAGCAGGCTGAGCACAGTCCAGGGGAGCAAGTCAGAAAAACAAAACAAAACAAGACAAAAAAACCAGCATTCCTCCATGGCCTGTGCTCCAACTCCTGCCTCTAGATGTCTGCCCAGAGTTCCTACCTTGGGCTCCCTCAGTGATGAACTGTGACCCAGGAGATGTAAGATAAACCCTTTCCAACCCAAGTTGGTTTTGGTCAGAGTGTTTGATCATAGCAATGGAGAAGCAAACTAGAACACTGGTCATCAGCAGGACTTAAACAAAAGTGTATGTGCAGGGGGACATTATATGGGAATAGGTTTTATATTCATAATCCCCCTGTGGGATTCCATTTTCTGATCTGTTAAGAGGAAGGGTAATTAATACATTACTAGAGATTCAGAACCCTGAAATCAGAAATACTACGAGCTCTGAAACGTTATGAGAGTGCACATGATGCCACAAGTAAAATTCCACAACATAAAACTCTGTTTTGGGGCTGCAGAGATGGTTCAGCAGTTGGGAGCACTGGCTGCTCTTGCAGAGGACCTGGGTTCAATTCCCAGCATCCACATGGCGGCTATGAAACATCTGTAACTCCAGTTCCAGGGGAATCCGAAGCCTTCTTCTGACCTCTGAGGCATTGCACAACAAAGGTGCACTCACATACATGCAGGCAATATACTCATACACATAAAATAAAATAAAAAAATAAATAAAATATTGAAGAAAAACAAAAACCGTTTCATGTACAGAATACAAAGATCACAGAAAATTACTTATAGGCTCTGTGCATATGAAGCATACAAGAAACAAATTAACTTCATGTTCAAACTTCTGGCTCATTTCTAAAGCATTTAATTATAAGAAAAAATGAAGTACAATCACTTCAAAAATAATGACTATAACACTCCTGAGACAATATGTATAAGAATATAAATCGGGGGCTGAAGAGATGGCTCAGCAGTTAAGAACACTGGTTGTTCTTGCAGAAGACCCGGGATTGAATCCCAACACCCACATGGCACCTAACAACTGCCTGTAACTCCAGTCCCTGGGGATCCTACAGCCTCTTCTGACCTCCATGAGCATTGCATGATGCAGGTGCACTTACCTACATGCCGGTAATACATGCATATACATAAAATAAATAAAATTAAAATAATCTATCTGTGCTGTAAGGTAGATCCAATACGGACATATAGTCTGAAAAACCAGTTTTAGCTAGGCTCAAATATACACTAGGATCTGTGATTATATACAAGTTGTTGGGCCCTTTTCTCCAGCATAAGAGAGCATTGCTGCTGGTAGCAAAATGAGAGAAAATATATGTATAAGTAAAGTCTTAAGATACATTCACAGCATTAAGCCCCACACAGAGTCCAGGTGGCCTGAGGCACAGGCAAACAGGCTCCTATGACACTTTCTCCTGTGTATTTGGTTACACTATCTCTTAGTTCGAGCTTTTCGCCAC